GGCGCCGGCGACCAGCCCGAGAGGCGCTCGGTGTGTAGCAGCCGCAGCAGCAGCAGCGGCGGTGGCGACCAGCGCGCCGGGCACCAGCACCAGCACCACCAGCCCATCTGCAAGATCTGCTTCCAGGGCGCGGAGCAGGTAAGGCCCTGGGGGACCTCGGAGCAGCTGGCCGTGGGCTCTGGTCGGGACTGGACCCGCTCCTGCCCCGGTGGATCGACCTTTCAGCACCACGGACAGCACTCGCCTCCTACTTCCTCGCCACCCGGCTGGTCTGGTCCGGCCAACTGAGTGGCTGCTACTTGTGTTCCTTTTTCCCTTGCTGTGAAGGCAGATGAAAATGTCCCGGTGGCGAATGCAGGGTTTAATTTGATCTACACTTATTTTTTTTTCCTACCTGGTTTTGCAGTTACGCATTCCTCAGGTGCTTTAAAGATCATGCCCTAAGTTTTTGTGAATTGCTAAATGGATTTTAGAAACAAACCTATGTCCCCCTTTCTACAAATGTATCCTGAGGCAGATAGTCTTAGAATACAAACTGGGGGTGAGTCATGCCAAAACCAAAAAGGGCAGGGTCTTTACATATTGCAAGTTATGTTGACTTAATCTCACTGATGTGAAGAGCGTGTTATAGTTTTTACAAGAGAAATAGGAAATGTACTTTGACCTTGTGAAAGAAAGCCTATTTAGCTAACAATGTATTTTGTATTTTGTTAGAAACATAAATTAAAAACTCCATTAGAGGTGCATGCAAACTTATAAGAGAGTAATCATGGAGACAACAGGATAACCTATCTCTTACAAAATGTGTGGTCTGAGAAAACATTAGGTTTAATATTTTTAAAGGTGAGGAAATTGCATTAGAATATGCAGGCTTTCAGGAATATAGTGCCCTAAGTCAATATTTATGATGCTACATTTAGAAAAAAATAAAAGCATAATGCTACTGCAAGCTACTTTCTGGGATGCCATGCGTTTCTTCTTTAGCGATGATTAAGAATAACTGCAGAGGAAATGCATCTGACCATCCACTTAAAAGTTATTAAAGAGATTTCATAGTACAGCTTTCCCTCAAGGGTATTGGGAGCTATATCTTGCAGACATTTTGTATGTTGGTAGAACATTTATGTCATAACTCTCAGCAATACCTTTGAAATAGTTTTAAGACTTCAGTTTCATTCCCCTCAGAGGTATAAAAATTTAATTTTATTTTCTTGGAGAGTTTGATGCTTGTATCCTTCCGGGTAAATGGCTTTGAAAGAAAAGAAAGCAAGTGTTAGTTTTTTTTTGTTTTTTTTTTTTAAATAGAGACACGAGCATAAATATTCACATGGGCTGTGTTCTTTTCAGGGGGAATTGTTAAACCCCTGCCGCTGTGATGGGTCAGTTCGGTATACGCATCAGCTGTGCCTGCTGAAGTGGATCAGCGAGAGGGGTTCCTGGACCTGTGAGCTCTGCTGTTACAGATACCATGTCATAGCCATTAAAATGAAACAGCCTTGCCAGGTAAACATCCATGACATTTTTTTTTTACCCTGAAATGATTTTGCTAACCATGTGTGCACTTGAGTTCAGTTACTACTAAGGATATTTACATATGCTACTTACAAACATTTTATGCAAATAAAATAAAGCCAAGATTTAGAATTTGTTGAGTTGTGCTTGGAGAAATCTGTGACATTTTTATCTGAGAAACTAAAGAGACATTTTGTTCAAGTGGTTTCTTTTATTAGTTTGTTGCTTTTTGATAAACTTATGCCCATCTTTGTTTCTAAAAGGGCAAGTTGATAAACTTATACTTCAATTAAACTAGTTATTAATTAGAAATATTACACAATTTATTTTAATAATATTCTTGTTAATTATGCATTGAAGCCCAGGATGGGCTCTGTTAATGGGAGACACATGCAAGTAAAGCTGAACTTTATTAGTCTGGAAACTTCAGTTAAATCTATTAGTTTTAATCTGAAAACTTTTTTCACTTAACTAGGCTCTTTTTCATGTGATGCATTTGGAAGATTTGGCTACTTCCATTTGCTGTGTTCAACTTACATAGTGGATGCAGAAGTATTTCCAACAGTTACTCTCAATAATACCACTGAAATTGTGTGTATTCTTAAACTTTTTGTGTATAATCACATAAAACACAATACCCATAACCCTACAAATGCCCTTGGAAAAATAGGCTTTGGTTTTTTCATGGTGAAACTGATTCAGATTCTTTGAATAGACTGGTGGGATGTAAAATTCAAAATATTAAGAATGACATATTAAAGCAGAATAGTGTATACTTGATGAGATTTGGTAGTGACGTGGGGCTGAAGTTAAGCAGACATAAAAGAGTAGGTTCAAAACAGAGATGAAGTATGCAGTAGAAGGAAGAGGGGGAAGGGGATCGAAAAGTTAGGAGGGGAAGAAAGTCATAAAATCTAGTGTCCCTTGTTTCTGTTTAAATCAACCAATGTAGTTTGCATTGAGCAGTATAAAATAGGTGAAACTGTTAGGGATTGCAGAGGGAACCTGGAAGCTGAATTACTACTGCATTAATAATTTAAATTTCATAGATTTTAATTTACGCATCCTTCGTATGGTTTGCAATTAATTTGCATCACTGATAGTCATCATTTAAAGCATGATTAGCAGGCATGAGAAGAAAATGTGGATTTTTTCAAGTTGACCAAAGGCTTATAAATAATTTGGAGAGAAGAAGAATAACTAATGTGGATAAGTGATGCTGTCATGCTGAAGACAGGCACAAACCTGACCCGTGTTCCCAGAACCTCTAATTGATTGAACTACCTGGGTATCAATTTATGGATCTATCATAGTTGTCCTGAAAAACAGATGGAATCATGTCTGGATATAAGGATAAGAGTAGTATCATTGGATGTACAATAATTCTATGACTAGAAACATGGGGAGATGAGAAAAGGGGAATTTGGAACTCCAGTGAAAAGTCCCATGAGAAGCATTATGGCCAGATGTTCAAGAGCTCAAACAGAATGCTAAGTATTTCAGAAACTTATGGCTACCATATATTAACTCATGTGGGATGATTCATTTTGAAGTAAACAGAAATAGGTCTTTGATATAATTTTAAAATAGAGAAGAGACAAAGAGCTGGGGCAAAAAGTACTGTTTACTAATTCTATAGCAAAATGAATTGATTGCTACTATGTTTTGCTTCTTTCATAAAACAAATCATTCAATATCATTTTAACAAAAGCAGTTCCCCAAAGTGTGTGTATGATATGACCAAAAAATTTAAAAAAATACCCAAACCCCAAAACTAACCCAGTGTTTACTAATACACTAGAATTAATTTTATTATGACATATGCAAATACTACCCTGATCTGTAAGGTGACCTGTTTGTTAGAGTGAATTAGAAAATAATATTCAGAAACAAAGTTGATATGAGTGTGATGATGATAGCTTCGATCATGCCCAAGAAAGTAACTTTCCAGGACTGTGTTATATGTATAAAAAACTCAGTACTCCTAATGAGTGGAAATCAGTTATAAGTTTCCTACAGTGTGGATTCTTCTACCTAGGAGCAATTTATTCTCAGATAAAGTTATATTAATTGCCTGACATTTCTGTTATGGATCACCTACAAACTGAACATTTACTTTGATTTTTGGTTTTCTCCCTTGCTGTTGTGAGGCCAATCAGATGTCACATTTATCACATTCATGCTTTTATGACCCGGCAGAAATCCATTTCTTCATGGTATAGGATCCAACAGGAAGTATGTTTTGGCAACCCCCCCCCATCACTTTCCCTATCCCTCTGTCCTAAGTATAGAGACCTCCATAGCTGTGAGTGGGTGGTTCCTTGGATGTAGAATAGAAGAGAGAATAAATAATTAATAGAGAATATTTGCTGAATACTTAACTCTGTGCCAGGCACTGTTCTAAGTGCTTTACATATGCTGATACTGATGTTTAATCTTCATAACAAACCTGTGAGGTAGGGAATAGAATGATCACTATTTTACACAAACGGAAACTGAGACAGATACAGAAAAGTTACCTAATTTCTACTGGGTACGTATCTAGTCAAGGACAAGACCAGGATTCAAGTTTAGTCAGTCTGGCTCTGAGGTCCATGGTCTTAGCCTCCATGCCCATATTAGAAAGTGTTCTCAATTCCATCATAGCCATTTCTGGGCCTATCATGGCCCTTTGTCCTGTGCAAAGCTGAGTCACTCAGGAACTGGTTTTGGCCTGGGTCTCTAAGATGGTCTAGAAAGTTTTTGACTATTTATTGTTGTGTAACAAACCCTCTCAAATACTTCGTAGTTTGAACAACAATCAGTTAAGATCTCTTCAGAGCCTGGGTTGACTGAGGTCAGCTGGAAGGTTCCTCTCCATATGTGGTGTCAGCCGGGAGCCATCGCCAGCCAGAGGTTTGACTAGGATGCTCCAATCCAGGATGGCTCACTCATATGACTTGTTCTTGGTGCTGGCTGTTGGCTGGAAGGCAGCTGGGGCTGTCAGTTGGGGCCTCAGTTCTCTTTCCACGTGACTAGGAGTTTTCACAGTATGCTGGTTGAGGTCCAAGTGCTGGGATCTCTTAAGGCCCAAACTTGGAGGTAACACAGTTTCATGTATGCTGTATTCTCTTGATTAAAGGAAGTCACAGGACCAGCCCACATTCAAGAGAAGGGAAAATAGACTTCACCTTTGGAGTCTGTCCTTTGAAAGAGAGTGGCTGTCTTTAATTCACAATAGGAGATAGCTTCTAAAAATAGCTCTATCTACCTACCCTGGTCTCTGCATTAAGTACTTGTTAAGCCCAGATAGGTCACCAAGCACCACCGTAACTTCCCTCCCAGCACTCAGAAATAAAGAAAGCTTTAAAAAAAATGTATGGAGTGATGCTTGATGCATACCCTCAAGCACTTTCCGAAGTGATTACTACCATGAGGTACTTCCTGGTACTCAGGGGGATATGGAGACAAAGAAGGGAAAGGAGCAGCTAACCAGGAAACAGGTATGTGTGTGGGGGGGGGGGGGGGGGCTCGTGCTGCAAAGAGTCTAAAACTTTAGTTTTACTTGTTTTTCTCTTTAATATTAGTGGCCTTTGAAAACTTGGGTCTAAAACTACCCATTCCTTTGGATTTTAGTGATGTTCAGCAACATGACCCAGTAGAAAACTGATATATCCTCTAAACATACTTAAATCTTAATCGCTGTGTCATTAGCAGTAGGAGTTAATTAAGACATTCCAAGTAATTAACATGCATTTACCCTCCTACCTACTTGCAGAATCTATTTTATTGATTAACATATTCAAGATGGTGCACTAATAATATTTCAAGAGTAAAAGCTAATTCTGTTTTGAATCTCATAGTATGGTATAAAATTAGTGGAATCTAAGAATATATAAGATCAAATTTATCTTGAGATGTTGGTGACATTAACTAATTAAGCTATATTCAGGTTTATGAATGCTTTCTGTACTTGTTCAAGAAATATAGATGTTTGAAGAGATAACATTTATTTGGTAATATATTGTATGGGAAACTTAAGACTTGTTACAAAAGATAGCGCACTGCCTAAACAGAAAAATACACTGTAAATGGAAGGTGCTCCCTGTATTACCTTGCACAACTTACTTAACTCTTTGTGCCTCATTAGCTCATTTTTAAAAAGTGATCTCTGAACCCAGCATCGGGCTGGAACGCGTGACTCTGAGATCAAGAGTCTGAGGCTCTACCGACTGAGCCAACCAGGCGCCCCTCAGTTAACTCATCTTTAAAAAATCATAAGGGCACCTATTCTATCCACTATTTTGAGGACTAAATACATAATATATGTAAAGTGGTTAGTGTCGTGCCCAGTACATAGTAGGTGCCATTTTAATGTTGGCTCTGATTATTATTACTTGTTCATTCAGCTAACAGTTGGGGACCTTCAGTGGTTCATGGATCCCTGTTGTGTCCTTCAATCTCTTGTCACCAATGTGAAGTTAAGGACTTCTTTTTCCAGATCATTCTTTTTCCCTGGATGTTTAACCACTGCGCCCTCCCCGCCCCCCCCCGCCCGCTTTTTCTGGGAGAGCCCATCTCAGTGTCTGAACAAATCTGCTTTCGTAAATAATGAAAGAATCAGCATTTAAAAAACTCAGGGGTGTAATGCGATATGACGATCTCAGCACACAAGAGCATGCGTACTCTCCAGATATCCCTCCCCATGGGTCTTAATCAGAGTTACGAGATGCTTCCACAGGTAGCCAAGCACAGAGCAGTGCTGCTCAGCTTCTCAGGCATCATTCCTTTACACTTGGGAAATCCCTCTGCTGGGTGGGATGTGTGCAAGTGGGAGGAGGTTGGAGAAGCCCCCAGAGATCCCTGGGAGGGCGATGCTGTAGAAACACAGATAGTTGGCAGAGCATCGGTCAGAGTGAATAGTGGCTTCCATCAGCTTTCCTTCTTCCTCCCTTATGTAGAGTACCAAAGGAAAGGACTAGGAAGGATCTTCCTTGGACGGCATTGAGAGT